ATCGAAAAACTTGTCTATATTATTTAATGAAACATGCATCAATGAGAAAATGCTATACACACACACATATATATATATATGTGTGTGTGTGTGTGTGTTCCTTTAGCATGCTACCAGTGAGGGATAATATGTATATATTTATTAATATATACTTAATAGCTCTGTTATACTACATCGCTCTGTTTTACACCAGTACTCTGTGCAATATATATATATATATATATATATATATATATATATATATAAGAACAAAAATCTGGAATAATTCTGGGGTTTTATTTAAGAGCACTAAGAATCTGCAGATACCAATATTTGCCTGAAGAAGGCTTATACATAGAAACACCTAAAAATATATGTAAATATAGCTTTAATGTATGCTTAATTTCTGGATAAAAGTGCATAGTATTGGGGATAAAGCATATATAAATATAAAAGTGGACATTGAGCTCAACACCAAGTGGTGACTGTCCATTTCATGCTTGCATGCAATTTCCAGGGTAGCCTGAAATGTTCTAGTAAGAAACACTGTTGTCATTTGGTGTTGACCTTTGTGTCCACTTATAATATGGCAGGTATTGCTAAAGTCTTAACATAGACAAAAACCAAGAGATACCTTCCTGGGATGACGTGCATTAAATTCATCTATCTGTTGATGTGACCATCTTTCATATCCAATTAAGTACCAGTTCAATTATTTCTTCTTTTGACAAAACTACATTTAATCTGTGGATGTAAAAAAATAAAAAACAAAATATATATAGTTAATGAAATTTCCTATCTGTCCACACTTTACGGACACCCTACATATATTATATGATGTGTTCGGCAGAGGTGGGGCATATTCAACATTTGATAATTTTGCAGCAATATGCACTTAAAAGTTTTGATCAATGTTTCCTTTTATGGTTAGCCGTAAGGAATTATATCACACACTTAAGTAAAATAATAACTATAATAATAATCTATAAGATTCCTAAATTGGACAAACTGGAGCTGTTTTGTTTACGCTTTGTTACAGTCTTTTTCCATTGTCTTTCTTCCAGTCATTTTGATGTGCAATAGCAAAATTCTGAAATTTAGAATGATCTTTTTCCATTTAAAAAATAAAGCCTGTAAAAAGGAGTATTTTAAATTAATATATCACCAAAAATAAAATGCTTTTGACAAAAACCTTAATGATATCACTATAATTATGTAACAATAATGTAATGATATTTCACAGACAAACCTATGGTTTATGTTACCTCATCTCATTGCATGGTTACAAACTATAAACCTTAATTGAGCTCTAATTTTTTGTAAAATACTTGTATATGACATAATAATTTGCAGTGAAAAAAGCAATTTTAATTTTTTTAAATTTTTAATTTTTTATTTTTTTGTTGAATACACCTTGCCTCCTCCATAGAACACCTCATCACTATCTATTTATCTGTGTGTGTGTGTAAAAAAAAAAACAAAAAAAAAACACATACTGAATAATTATCAGTGTAATATAGCTTAAAAATAATCTGCCAAATTCTTCAAAAGATGAAGAATCTGGCCTAAATTTTTCTCAAAATAATGGTAATGCTGCTCCTCATAATTTCAATCATTTCAGTGGTAGTTTTTAAGTTTTGAAGACTAAGTAAATTTCTGAGTTTTTATCTATTTGTGAATATTTAGAGATGATATTTGATCGTTGCTACATTTTCAATTCCACTTGATATACAAGTTAGGGATTTTATTTCAAGCTCTCAAATTTACTTTTTTGGCAAAATGAATTAATACCCAGCCTCATAAATTTTCAGCATAAATGAAGTTTACTTCTTTACACAATAAATACATGTCTCCTCATCCAACAAAACTATAATATATATATATATATATATATATATATATATATATATATATATATATATACACACACACACACAAAAAAAAAAAAACCTGTCTAAAATTAATTTTTTAATGAAAATCTTTCTTTAAGCTTTTATTTTAGTTTCAAGCTAATAGATTAAATTTAATATTTCCAATAAGTAAAATACTTTGTTGTATTTCAAAACTAATTTAAATTGACTGGAAGGAGTTTTTTTTTTTTTTTTTTTTTGTTAAATAATTAGCATTTGCCAATTTTAGTACCAATTTTAGCCATCTTTCCTCAATGTAATTCTCTTTATTAAAAAATCTTTCAAAAATAAAATATACTTTTCTGGATCTTTATTTGATGAAGATTAGGTGATTTAAAGTTTAATCTGATTTTAAATAAATATTACTTAGTTTAAAATACCACAGAAATGCATTTTTAACACAGCTGTAGCTGTTTGTTTAAGGTTTTTACCTGTTGACAACTTGACTGACAGATGGAAGTTTATTTAATGTTTTTCTACATTGGATATAGCTGTAAGATTTACTTGAGGAATATAATGTGCGACCCTTTTTAATATAATTTTTTAACTACCCAGTAATCTTGATAATTTAAGGAGATATTGTCTGTAATCTAATGTTTTATTGAATTTTAGAAATTTTAGCTTTAAATTTACTATAGTTATCGCTCTTATTTTCTGATAATGTGTGTGGATGTCTGTATTTACAATAATTGGCATGTTTATACACATGCAAAAAAATTTTTTTAATTTTTTCTAAAATATTAATGTTCAGTGAATTGTTGTAAGCTTTTCCATTTATGATTAGTTCATACAGTTTTTACTTAATAACAATATCCCTAACCAGCACAAAGTAATGCAGAAATTTAAAAAATTTAAAAATTAATAAATTGTTCTAATTAAAATGAAAACAATTCTTGTAAAAATTCATTATTCATTGAATAAAATTTTTTGTTAAGACCAAATGTCCATAATATATCTTACTCATAAAAGCAATTAAAAGCATTTATAATTAATGTCATAATTTTATTACATTTTCTTTTTTTCTTTCAGTGCTTATTTTCAGTAATAAAAAAAAAAATTGATTTAAATTCTACAAGGAGTTCTGCTTTTAACTTTGACTAATATAAAGTGGCACAAAATTTAATTTCTCAAAATTTCATAAAATAAGTGAAAGGTTTGAGCCCACAGATAGTTTGGAAGATTATAGGTTCAGCACGTGCTCCTAATAATCTTAGAGATAGGTGTGACTTATGTTTGGAAGAAAAAATTAGAATAATAAAATACAATAATCAAAGCCAACTATTAAATCAGAGGAATGAATTAGTGTTAAAATGCTGACATAAAACCAAATTCAAATTTCCATAATATAGGTTTAACTTAATTAGCTACTATATTTCCATAATATTCATTCCCCTCTCACTCTTCAAATGTTGAATGTATAACTAATTCTAATTTCTATAATTCCCCACCTCTAAAACCTCTTTATATTATATTAATTATAATTTATAAAGTTTCCCCTACTCAAAGATCTCAACTTTCTTTCCATTAATCCCTTACATCCTTTTATCTATATATATATATATTGATGTTATTTTTTAACATCTTTTAATTTTAAATTAATTTGATTCTGCATATAACTTCAAATTAATGTCATAAGGTTAATATTTGGATTTAATTTTATAAAACTTCTTTCCTTTAAGACAAATACCTTACAACTTCCCCTGACCTCTGTCTTGTGCCTTTTGTCTGGCTGAAACATTGAAATGGATAAATTCTGTATTAGTTTTTTGACAGGTTGAGATATATATATATTTTAACTTTCACAGTTAAATTTCTATTTCTGGCACACTCAATCCACACCAGGGTTAAGACAGATGACCATTATCTTTGTCTGCCAAAATAGGCTATTCCCCATATGAAGTAATTTTGGATTTTATTGTTTATTATTTATATTGCTCTGTAATAATACATTGAGCTCTTTTTGTGGATCAGTTTTAATATTTTATATTACTAGGATCCACTTGGATTATATACAAACCTATTTGTTACCTTTACTATATATTGTCTGTGTGTGCGTGTGAAATAAGTAATATTTATCTCATTACTTTCAAATGTTTGCAAAAAACGATAACTTTGTAACCAAATGGTAAATAATTGGAGTAAATAATTCTTGTGGCATTTCAAAAGAATGTCCAAGAATTTCTCTTGGCATCTCTTCATTTCCATATTTTGTTGTTTACCGTTTTTTCTTTTTCTTTTCCCTTATACATGTGGTCTTTTTTTTTTCTTCATCAGTTAAGGCTCATCTTTTTCATCTTTGTACTTTGCCTTTGCTTTAATCTTTCATTTCAAGATTGGAATTCTTAACCATGCAACTCTCTTTTTATTGATAAAGATCTTTTCTATCATCTAATGATGCGATATCATCTAATGTCCAAACCATTTACCTTGCACATATGTTAAAGCTTTTTATTTTTTTCACTACATCTGTTCAAATTGTTTGTGATAGTGCCTTACCATTTTTCACATTAGATTTTTTAAAGTAAGAATTTGACAGCAGTGCTTATCATCTATATTTTTTTTTTTTTTTTTTTTACTTAGTTCTATGGTTAGTAAGTACTTAATTTCAGAAGTCTCTAAGAATTAATTAGCCTTCTGGTACTAATTTAAGTGATGAGCTTCAGCATTAGACTTATTAGTTTATATGGAATAATTTCAAGATCCAAAGAATCTGCAATGTTGTAGGTTCTGCTGTAACCAAGAAAGGGTTACTGAATGAGGAATAACCAAAATGGAGGTTGGAAATGAAATGGTAATCTTTACAACAAAATACAATACTTGCCAGTAGCGTGAAGTAGGTAAACCCCTGCTAGTGGTGGACTACTTAGACAGCATACTATTCCCGCTTACAATAGTGTCCAATGTATTTATGAGGATTGGGACATACCTATTAGTGTTCATAGGTATGGTATATAATGGGTTCTGACTTGGCATCCCAGCTTCAGTCATTTTCCAACTTTCTAGTGGACATAATGCAGCTTGTCTATAGCTTTTCTATAAATACTTTCATGGTACCTGATGAACTTTTCTCTATGGTACCTGATGAACTTTTCTCTGTGTGAACTTTTCTCTATGGTACCTGATGAACTTTTCTCTATGGTACCTGATGAACTTTTCTCTATGGTACCTGATGAACTTTTCTCTATGGTACCTGATGAACTTTTCTCTATGGTACCTGATGAACTTTTCTCTATGGTACCTGATGAACTTTTCTCTATGGTACCTGATGAACTTTTCTCTATGGTACCTGATGAACTTTTCTCTATGGTACCTGATGAACTTTTCTCTATGGTACCTGATGAACTTTTCTCTATGGTACCTGATGAACTTTTCTCTATGGTACCTGATGAACTTTTCTCTATGGTACCTGATGAACTTTTCTCTATGGTACCTGATGAACTTTTCTCTATGGTACCTAGACTTTATGAATTTAAGTGCAGTACTAGATTGGTGACAAGGTCACATCATTTTATCTTTGAATCAGCTCAATGTAACCATAAGTTCTTTGCTTATAGTTTCTTTTCTCACCTGTGAAAATCTCTTCTAACTTCTTGCTTTCCAGCCAACTTTGATTTTCAAAAATGTAAATGCAATGTTAATCATTATCTACTGTCTTCTGGATTCCTCTTTTATTGTTCTTCTTTAATAATGTTTTTCTATTTCTTTCACACTCAGTAAATCCTTGTCTTAGTGGCTTTACTTCCTTGGTTGGGGTGAAATGATTAAAGGTGAAATGTATACTGAGGAACAAGTTTGGCCCAAAGAAAAGCCATGATAAGGTTAATGGAAATCTACTGTTTTTTATTTAGGAGTTTGATTGTGATTAAACTTCTGCTGCCTTTCATTAATTATTAGCAAATGTACATCGTACATCACTTGATATCTATAATTAACTTAGGGGAAAAAAAAACTTTCTCAGTGGATACAACTAAGTTGTTCATTTCAATTTTTGATTGTTAAAATCTGTAATATTTGAATATATTGGGATCTGATATTTTGTGACCCAGACCCCCAGAACGACATCAAATTCTGCAAAAATAAATGTAGATAGAAAAAAAATCAGATAAGATAGCGAGGGTCACAAATGGTTATGGAAAGATAGAGAAAAAGAATGATAAAAAATGTGAATGTAGTAAAGAAAATAATCCATAATATTTAGTTAAAAACCTGAATGGGTTATGGAAATTGGAAAAGATTAGGGAGATAATTTGTGTGTGTGTGCGTTACAGGGAAACACACCTATTCTATAGTTAATAGACTCTCCCACCTAATATAAGTAGGAGTAGTAAGAGAAACGTGGGTCAGTCGATGTCGGACAGTTGAATACGAAAGTAATAAGCGACCACAACAAGATTACTCTACATAATACCAAGTTCTTAACGTTTTGTACGTCAAACTATTTAGGACAGATTTTAGTACAAATACAAGCCTCCACTGCGAAATTACTCCATAACAGTATATATATATATATATATATATATATATATATATATATAAAAAAGGCTTAAACACTAATATTCCATGGTCATAATTTATTCCATTGGAATTGTAAATATGATTCAATTGATCGGACCTACAAATTCTAAAAGAAAACAGAAAAAACAACTCTGGGAATAAAAAAATATTTTTTGAATAGTAGTGTTTAAGCCTTTTTATTATATCCTTACTCCATCCTAGACATAGAGTTCTACCTGGATTCTATCCTCTTGGAATTATTTTATATATATATATATATTAGATATATGATTGCATATGTATGTGTATATTTACCACTATAATATATATATATATATATATATATATATATAAAAATAGGAAAGAACTTGTTAGGTAAATAATCCTAAGTTCTTTAGTATTTTTGTTATTATTTTTAAAAAACAGTGCTTGATACAAAAGTAGAGCCTAAATATAATTATTTATTTAAAAATATGATTAAAAATGCTACATGAGAGTTCTCATGTTTCAAAACAAGAGCAGAAAACTTCAATATAATTATTTGAATTAAAGTACCAAGCTAATTCAATTTAATTCAAATAATTATATTGAAGTTTTCTGCTCTTGTCTTGAAACATGGGAACTCTTATGTAGCATTTTTAATCATATTTTTAAATAATTATATAGTGTGTGTGTAATATTTATGTGTATATATATATATATATATATATATATATATATATATATATATATATATATTTATTATAACTACACTTAAATATTTTCTGTGTATACTAAGACAATTTTCCAATGCTTCATGTGGTGAAGAAATTTCACCTAAAGCTGATTGGTCTGACAATGATGGAGTTAACTTTGTTTGTTGTCGTCAGTTTATTTCTGGATCATGCAAGAGAAATCTATCTACAGCTGTAAGATGACTTGATAATATATTATCAACCGTTATCATTGCAATTGGCACCTGCTTTTGAAGAACGATGTAATGTATGTCAGTGCAATAAGTCGTAATAATTTGAGATGTCAGCAGAGGATGACAATTCTTGTTTAATCTGTAATGCAAACTAGTTAGCCAACAAAATTAGGTTACCCCGGCCCTGTTGACTTCTCAAAATAAGTTACCTGTCTCTGTTGCCTGCCAGATGTGCTTGCAAGCTTTGCTTTGAAAATGGGGGTGGTAGGTAAAAAAAGGATGCGTCGTAAGAACCCTAAAAAAAGCTGTGTTGGCTGAATTGGTAAGGAAGTGGAAGGTTTAACAGCTGACATGACATAATACTCTGTCTTTAAGGTTTCTAAAATTACCGATAGGATAGCATAGTATCTCTGCTGATAGTACTTAGAATTTTTTTTATTATCCCACAATCCTCACTTCATTTCTGGTGTTTTTAAGGATTTAACTACGTTCTAAAAGGTTACTGGATTTCAAGACTTAAAGGTATTATTTGTTCATTATTGTTGTTAGTGTGTGGGATGTGTTCTTTTATACAAGAAAAAAAGTATTATATTTTAAATCTCAACAACATCTGGGACTTGATTATCATGAAGTATGAAAATCTTATATAAATGAAGAAGCGAAAATATACAAATTATTTGTAGTTTTTATGTTTTTCATATCTGAATCTCAGAAAAAGATTGATTTTGAAAGGAGCAAATTATATAATAAAATGTGCTGTTGTAACTATAGGTAAATGTGCTGTTGTAACTATAGGTAAATGTGCTGTTGTAACTATAGGTAAATGTGCTATTAAATACATTATATGTATGTTAAAATACTGCTTCCCGTATGATCACCAAAGTTAAACAATGTTGAGCCTGGTCAGTACTTAGATGGGTGACTGTTTGGGAATACTCTGTGCAGTAAG